CGGCGCGCCAAAGGTGTGAAGTGCAAACTGTTATCTCTGCGCACAAAGCTCGTGAGCGAGGTGAGCCTGCACATTTGGCCTGCTTGCTTCAAAAACACGCTGCCGCGTGGACCAGCGACGGATCTACTCGCATGAACCATGACCTGCGCCCTCCGACGGTGCGCACGGCGGTAGGACAGAGGTCCTTCGCATACCAGGTGGTTTGCCTCAAGAACGAGTTGCCGGTGGATGTCAGACAACTGGATTCAATACGTTTTAAGCGCGTTGCCAAACATTTTTTGTGCAACACAGGTGTATTATGCTGTTAATGCAGGCATGCCCTTAAATGTTTGCATCCCTTATCCCACTTTCCGTCGTTTTTGACATGCTTTGACATCTCAGACTAATGACACATAACAGCCTCGTATGCACGTGCCGTATCAGCTGATGTCAAATAATAAGACCAATAAAACGCAAAAACACGAATAGCAGCTTGGTGTGTGGTTTAAAACCACTGCTTTGATATTAAAATAAGGATGTTTCTTGTGTTTCCACGTCAACTTGCAGTGCTTTCAATAAAAGACGTAGTGGGCCCAATAGCAGCTATTTATCTCCACACCGCCTCATCCAGCACGCATTGAGTCGCTCCTCCAGCGCGCACTGAGTCGCCCCTCCCGCGCGCACCGAGTCGTCCCTCCCGCGCGCACTGAGTCGCCCCTCCCGCGCGCACCGAGTCGTCCCTCCCGCGCACACTGAGTCGCTACTCCTGCGCGCATCGTTCGGCCGCCGCTTCCGCAAGCGCCCCCTTCCCAAGCGTCGGACGGCTCAAGCGGTCTGAAGCGGCGCAGAAGGAGGAGGGGAGGAGCAGCTGCTGATGACAGGCGTGTCAGGGATGGTAAATCACGCTTGGGTGCACTGTTTATTCAGTCGCACAGAAAGCCCACGGCCATTGAAGTCGAGCGTGTGTCGCAACGATAATAGCACGGTGCTTTGCTGGACGCTCCATTCTAATCACCGATCTGAACAGCACAGGCGAGTCTGCCAATAATAATATGGCGAGTCAGAGAGCAATAGGGGCGTAGCAAATATGAGCTACTCAGTTATTCGGCCACAGTGCCTTCTGGATAAAATTCTCCCTAAAGCGCAAAACTTAAAGTAAGATGCACACCACGCTGGGGCCGCGTTGGAGAAAGGAGGCAGCTCTCCATCCTTCCGCAGGACAAACTCACTAACAGCCCCCCAATTTTGACCACAGAGCAGAAAAGGCGAATCCAGCAAAGGTTCCAGCAAGCTGACCCGTGCGGTAGGTCAAGAGAGGCTAGAGTCTTCAAAAGATATCGGTGCAAGCGATGTAAAGAGCGAAACAGGCTGCTGAGCTTTTTCAGCAAAGCAGACCAAACCTCATTCTGTATTTTCGGGACACGCAGAACCCAAAAGAGCTGTGCTGGATGCTCGTCGTGACAGGTCCTACAGCTGCATTAAGGCAAATGCCTGCCAGATCCCAGCGCTCATGTCCGCTACGATCGACACAGCTTGTGCACTGCCAAAGGACAAGTCGGCGCCACGGTGATACTGCCACAGGAAAGCCTTCTCCTGTGCCGGAAGGCGACACTCTTTACGCTCTGGTACACAGCACACCGGCTGGTGCCAGAGTGTGAAGGAAGCCACGCGCCCGGTGCAGACACGTGTCCACGTCGTGACCCCAGCGCAGCTCCTGATCGAGCACGGCGCCCAGACGCTCGGTATGGGCACTTACGACCAATTTTTGCCAGCACAGTCGCCATTCCGTGACATATGTGACAAGAGACCGCCTCCGAAAAGAAGACAATGACTTTTGATGTGTACTGGATCGAGGTTCACAAACTTCAAACGCCACCGAGCGGAGATCCCTTCAACAATCATGAACGTATGACTCAGATGGTGCGCGTTGCTGTGGAGGATGCGTAAGGCCGTCGGCATAGCACTCTTCTGGGACATGAGAAGCGTGGAGCCGCGTTCCAAAACTTTTGAGGCTCACCTGTCTAACGAGCGGAAACGGAGAAGCATTATCAATCCATGGGGTGACAAAATCGTTCCCTGATGAACGCTCCTATGAAGCGAGAAAGCTGGCGAAAGCTGACCGCCAGGCATCACGCAGGCTGACAGAGACCTCAGGCTGGCAGCAGACCCCAGCTCCGCGCGCACAGGTGCTCAGCAGCACGCAGCAGAAGGCCGGCGTACCAGAGCCTGTCGAAGCACTTCCGAGCACCAAGATTAGGGACAGAGACTGGCGAACCCCGGCTAACATATCCACCATCCTTGTGCGCAGTCTCTCGCACAAAGATGGTGACTTCAGACGTCCTTCGTCTCTCGGCGAAACCAAACTGCAACTCGTTGGGTACAAGTGACGACTTAATCTCAACAAGGTGCAGCATCCCTTCAAGCTTGGAGATGCTGAAACAGGCAAAATCGGCAGATAATTATCTAAGATGTCGGTACCGGACCTACGCTTTTTACCGAGCGGCACAATAGCACCACAAGCAAAACTGGACAGTACCTGCAGTTTATTATCACAGGCGGTCAGGAACTGTGTCAAGGGTTGTGAAAGGACGGAGAAGCTACATATAAGAGGTGACTGACAGAAATTCCATCCAGGTCAGCACGCTGCTCCCCGTCTCAGACACGCAATAAGACGAGCAACTTCTTGAGGACTGACAATGCCAGAAGAACCAAGATTATTCTCAGCAGCGGCTATGAGAATGGTAAAATGTTTCACCTCAAAATGCGCGGTCGTGAATACTTCCCGCTGCAATGGATGGAGCTAAAGTGAGACTGGGAGTCATCGGCTGTGAGCGATGACCGCGAGCGCTGCGGGCCGCGTTACAACTGCCCCACGCGCGCCAAAAGGCACGGAGGCGACCGCCACGGCGATATGCGGCTACAAGTCACACCTCTCGGGCCAGACGGGCACAAGCAAACTCCTTAAGTGCGCGTGCTACTCTGAAGCAACGGCACAGCACAGACCCACGAGGCTGGCTAGCTTGCGTCCAGGGGTAAAACCAGAACTGCACTCTGCCACGAGCAGTTGCTCAAGACCCAGTCCACCAAGGGTTCGACGATCGTCGAGGCCTGGAACAGCCGGCCTCTGAGGATGCCACATGGCCTGCCGATGGTAGTGGATTATTACTCTGATCAGCGCTGATGCCAGAGGACAGAAGTCCACTGCGAAACGCATCGCCGCGGGTGATGCATGACCAACCTAACACGACGTGCCTCAAAACAGCTGCGCCGCACACCCCTTTCCCGACTCCCACATGCCGCTCCACGAAAAGGAGAGGATGCGGGCTCAGATTATCCACTGATGGAAGATAACTTACGCAAGCTTTCACCTTTTTACAAAGAAGATTAGCTGACACAGCTCCAAGGTCGTAATGCCACCTCGCTCACATATGTACTGCAACGGTTGGCCAAACACAGATTCTGCCACCGCCTATCGATGTCAGTCAAGCACTCGTTACACCCCAGCGCTGAGCGCATTAAAACCACGCAGTACCTTCGAGTCCCGGGGTCGCTGATCCAAAGGAAGTCTGGAATTCAAGGCAAACTTGATGTCTTGCTGTTTAATAACATGACATTGCTATGCATAAATGTAAAACAAAGTCATGTAATATATATATATATATATATATATATATATATATATATATATATATATATATTGCATGACTTATATAATATAGCGCGCACACGATAAAGATTTAACGCATACGACACAAGCATACCCAAAGGCCATACAACTGTATTCAGGTTCGAAATCAGCCTCAGCAATTCTAAATGTACTGGTGTCATATTCGGATTAGATTACATCAGACCGATTCGGATTCCATCGCTTTGAACGGGATTCCATAAAGATTCAACCCAAGTGGAATCAAGTGCAAGTCTGCTTAGTAGCTAGTCTAGTAAGTTAGTCTAGTTTGGTGGGTTTTACCGGCCTAAACAGGACGGTGTCCTGTATTCAACTTACGCTACACCGGGAAGCTGGTTTCGTTAGGAACTCTGGTTTGGTGTCCTTCAACCACAAGCTCAAACTCCTGCTGATGGCCGTCGATCGACGTGCCTCACAATCAGTCTTAATTAAGACGGCCATCTCCCCGACGCTGGGAGTTACCCGCTCCTGTCCTCTCCGCCGGTAGTCGCTATCCGACAATGACAGTTCATTACCGCCCTACACAGTAAGTGACGGCGGCAGCCGGTGTTCCCGCTACCGCCGCCTCGCTGTGAGAGGCCGCGACGCCAAGCGAATGGCTGCGACATTCAACCCGGCGCAAATAAGCCATAAGCCAGAGCAGCTGTGAAAGACAGCCAATGCCAGGCCGAGCGGTTGGCCGCTGCCGTCCCGACAGGGCCGCGGCCGCCGTCGGCGACCGCCTCCACTTCTTGTCAGGGCCCGGGCGCCACATTGATCCCGCATCATCGCTAGCCGCAGCACGCGCGACCACCCGCCAATCTGGCGGGTCGCCGGCGGCGGCGCCGGCGCCGCTGGCCTGGGCCCGCGCCGGCCGACCTGGCCCGGTCTGGGGCGAGGTCGCCACCACAGCCAGGGGCGACGCCCCCGCCAGTGTGCAGCAGCACCGCACTGGCGGAGTCATCGCGGCACGCTGTCACCCGATGGAAGCACGACAGTCCCGAGCACGGTCCGGATTCACTCATACCCAGGCCAGCGAAGCCCGCCGGCGTTATCATGAGAGTGGAGCGTCCCAGTACATGTTCTGCCTTTAGCCGTGCGAAAACCGTGGTAGCCCACTGAAGTGTGCATTTGAATTGACCACCCCAGTGGTCAATATTATTATAATTATATATACTTACATATATTAATGCATGGAGGCTATGACAGCACGCTTCAAAGGGCATACGGGAGAAACATCTCAGTGATGAGTTCCCCGTAGTCAGGCACCTTCCAAAGAAAAAGTTGGCACGAGGCGGCTGGGTGACGGCAGGATTTTGGACGCCGCGCGGTCCCGGCCGGCCGCCGGGTGTCTGACCTGCAGGTAGCTGGTGCAGTTGCTGGTGTCGTCAAACTTTCCGATGCTCAGCTCCTGGATGGCCGCCGTCAATCCCGCTGCGGGGTGGGAGACGCGGCTCAGTTGAGGCGCGGCGCCGCGGCGGCTCATCGCGCGCGGGGCACGCGCCAGAGCGCGCCGACGATATATTGTGAGAGCTTCTCCCAAATAAACAACGTTTGATAACTGAGAAAATTATGGAGGGTAAACACATGGGGATGTTTCTTTTGGCTGAGTACTGTACAGCGGGTTTTTAAAACAGTTTTATAGTTTTTCATGTAATGAATGGACGATGAAATCGAGCAGAAAATGTTTGGTTTGCTACCTCTCGAACCCCCACGAGCGTCATTATATCCCGCTGCGGCTGGTACACATAGTCTTTAAGCGATACGTAAGACGTGCATTGCCGATCTTTGGATGGCGTCGTTGGATGGCGTCAACAGGGCCGCGCGTGATTGGCACAGAAGCCTCAAGGAAGCACTTTTGGAGCTTCAGCTCCGTCGCGGGCTGGCTCAAACAGCTCTGCAATCACTGATCAATAGGGTTCGTGCTGTCAGCGTGGCCCACAGAGACGAACGCTTTACCACTCGGCGAGGGGCTGGTGGAGCCTTCCAAGGCTTCTCAGCGGGCTGAGGAGTGCATAATGCCGAGCAAACTGAGCACACGTACGTCAGAGGACACAGCCTCGACGATCGGGCTAGGCAAACACTACCTCGTTGTGAGACGGAAATTAAAAAGTGCCAAGGCACTGCCGGGAGAATGGTGTTCACGCCATCATGTGTCACATGTATGCCACAGGAGGTCTTCTGTCGCATGTGTCAAAAGACCTCTCGTGTCTGGTGACAGTGGCCGGTGCTGACCGGCGTCACCGGCCGTCTGAGCCCGTGACCTCCCGTGTCTGGTGACAGCGGCTGCTGCTGACCAGCGTCACCGGCTGTCTGTGCCCGTGACCTCCCGTGTCAGGTGCGGACCAGCGCCACCGGTCATCTGAGCCCGTGACCTCCGGTGTCAGGTGACACTGGCCGGTGCTGACCAGTGTCACCACCGTCTGTGCCCGTAATCTACGAAATCAGAAGACATTGGCCGGTGCTGATCAGTGTCGCCGACCGTCTGAGCCCGTTACATCCCGTGTCAGGTGACAGCGACTGGTGCTGACCAGCGTCGCCGGCCGTCTGTGCCCGTACCGATGCCGGCGTCGCCGACCTCGATGCGCACGTAGCAGGTGAGTGGCCGGAACAGCTGTGTGGGCGACAGGCGCACCAGCGCGGCCGACATGCCGGCCTGCAGCCGAATCGTCCTGTTGCAGCTGCTCGGGTCGTCCAGGTACACTGCAACAGGCGGCACTGTCGTCACATGGGACCAGCGGTGAATGGCAACGGGCAGCTGCGAGGCTGTGACGCCGGGGAAATCAGAGAAGGGTTTCTTGGCACTTTTTTAGAGGGTCATTGATCCTATACGGGACGCAACGGAGCAGGTTTTCATTAAACCCTGTGGTTTTGTGATGACGACCTATTATGAAAGACATATCCTCCACAGACAGAGTCTCACACTGGACAACACAGCTTCTGACATGATATGAAAGGCGAGGTTCCTCAATGGATAACACGGCGACAGACATGCTGCAACAGAGTCCTGCACTGGACAATACAGCAGCATTCATGCTTAAACAAAATCCAGCGCTTGATGTGTAGGGGAAGACATGGACGTTCAAACTGACGACTGGTACTGTCGTGATGTGGCTCGAAAGAGACGGACGCCACGTGGTCCTCCGACAATACGGCAGCCCGCCCCACAACAGGGCGAAACCGGAGGGACGTGGATGTCGTGGCCAGGGGCTTCGTACACCCTCGTGAGACGATCTCCCTGGGGTGTCTGCACGAAAATTGTTGTCGGAATGGGTCAAGGGAGGAGGTGCGTGGCCGGCGACCGCAGTATCGGTGGGTCGAGCGCTACCTAAGTGGAGGACGACCTTTAGGATGTAGAAAGTCTCATTGTCCACAGACAAATTGGGAAAGTGTGTGCCAACGAGCCCAGAGTAGTCTGGCTGGATCCGGCCTTCTCGTTTCAAAGATCACTTCAGCTGGTTTCACCCGAAATATACTGTTTACACGACCCCTACCAAAAGGTATCATTACCACACTTCGATGCCTGTTTTCCTTTTTAACGAAAAAACATTCTAATGTTAAAAATCTGCTGTTCAATCATAGCGAACAACAGATCACCGGCGTATCGCGACCCTAAAGTCGACCGCTTTGGTAGGAAATGCAGGCAAGCTGGTCATATAATATTAAAAATAGTAATAATAATAATAGTATCGTAATATATACATGCATTCGTAAACACACACACACACACACACACACACACACACACACACACACACACACACACATATATATATATATATATATATATATATATATATATATATATATATATATATGCAGTGGCGGGTAGTGCTCACATCCAGCAATATCCGGGCAGGACGCGGCAGGCCGGATCTCAACTGGGATCATGCCACTGGACCGACCCCCCCCCCCCCACGACACAGGTGGCTGTTCCCACTGCCGCCGGTCCGTCTTTACAATGCCACAGGTCCGTGATAGCCTCACGCCACGCCGAGCCAGTCGGCACCGCGTCAGATTTCGACTGAGCCGCGCAGTCTGGCATCCCAGAGACGGCGCATCCAGGATAAGTTCCAATGTTAGTATGTCTTTCACTCTTGCATCCGTGATAACGACGAAACCGCGGCGCTTCGAGAGACTACAAGAACTCAACTCTTGGTGATGCGTTCTGTACAGCGCGCTTCAGGACCACTTCATTTTATTTATTCAAGACCATTCTATTGGGCGTGCGGATTTCGGCCGAGTGGCTTCATTCGCAGCGACCGAGTGAAACGGATCGGTCTCCGTCAGATACCAACATCGTGATGAAGCGCACGCACCCACGCACGCACGCACACATGCACCCCAGCCCACACGTGCAGTGCGCATCCGCGCGCACACACATACACGCACGCAAAACCCGGAAAACTGCAAATTCCCTGGATGGCTAGAAAATTTGCAGCTCATTATGGATTTTGCAAACGCCCTAGCAAGTTTGTAAGCTGCCTCGGTAGCTTACGAAATATTGAGGGCAAGAGAACCATCTTCCCATGGTACTTGAATGGCTATAACCATTAAGACATTCAAGGGACGGCACAATGGAGATGTGGCCAGCTGATAATTCTGAATTACATTGATATCTATGCATGTGAATAAATGCGGAAGATTACAAATTTGAGCAAACTAGTGAAAATAATGCACAGGAGAACATACTGTGATGCAATGATGCATGCCAAATTTATTTTGCCCGCTGCGCAGTAACTTTTCTCAGGATTTTAAATCGAGTCCAATGAACATTGAACTGACACCAGGTAACGGCTTGAACCAGCATTGGAGAGCCTTCATTCCAGCCCTAGCTCGACATAACGATCCCACTGCGCGTTTTGTAAGGACATAACAGAACGAACTCATGCATAGTAAATGCAACCAAAAATAGCTGCATCAATCGCAAACATTTGCCTCCACTCAGGCTATCTGCCAGGTACTAGAATAAAGACGTTACGGATATTTCATTCATATCAACGAACAGAACAAAGTGCTATAGTGCTCTATAGCACCTCGCTATAGAGCACTATAGCGAGGTGCCAGTGATGTTCCATAACTTTGCAGCGACGGGAATGGTCAGCCAAGTTTCCCTCAGACCAGTTGGATCAGGATATACAGCCCGTACTATGGCTCTCAAACGAAAATAGCCGCGAGTGAGACGCGTTGGGTTTCTCAATAGCCGCAGCTCCTCATGGGCTATTGTACTTACAAGCTTGCTTCAAAACTCATAAACTGGTTTCCATTGTGACTCACATCGGCAAGGAGAGAATTCACGCAAAATATTACAGTTCCTTCAGCGTTTGTAACTGTCCCATTGGTAACTGCACGTCATAACTGTGGCCCAAGTGCAATATTGATGTTTTCTGCGGCTGTGCAATATTGACGTTTTCTGCGGCTGTGCAATACTGGTGTTTTCTGCGGCTGTGCAATATTGGTGTTTTTTGTGGCTGTGCAATATGTGATTATTAGACGGACTACACCCTTGATCTTCACGTAAGCCCCCAAATGGTAATAAAGGGTGCGCACCATGCAAGCCTCGATGCAGTAAACCAATCTTATGTCCCGACCTTTTGGTTTGTGTCGGTGTTGGCCAAAGTGAGTATTTTCAAAGGTGCAGAAGGATTCTTGTGGGTTCAAATGTGATTCAATTCGATGGCGCCATTCAAAGATACCACCGTTTTTTTATCAGATGAAGATGCGACATATTATAACATAAAACCTAGGTAGTTTTATGCGTCGCATAAACCCGCATCAAATTGCATCGGGGATGGTCACACGTTAATCATCTAGATATTTCGCAAATTCCAAATGAGTTTACAAACTCCCAAGTGAGTTTGTAGATCTCTAGCCACCCAGGGAGTTTGAAAACTCCCTAGGCACAAACTACCGGATAAGCGAGGTAGTTTACAAATTCACTCTGTAGATTACAAACCCCCGTTTTTCATTCTGCCTGTAACGGAACTCGATTTGTTGCAGTTTTGAGTCTCGGTCCAACACTCCGCATTCTGCATCATGTGGATTGTATTCTGCATCATTAGGGTACGCTACAGATGGATGATCTTGGGCACCGTGGCCGTCTTAAAATAGCCGCTCGGCGCTTCGCTGAACTATGACGATACCATCCGAGAGCACGCCATAGCCACGAATACCGAAATGACTAATGCCCAGACTGTTGAGCCGATCAATCAAAGTGAACATTACTCGCCCAAATATACGTGTGTTCCTGTAAAAATCAGAGACGCTTATGAATTTTAATCGATCATGCCAGATAATCCACAGGCATACTAACTAGACCCTGAAAAAATCCGTGGAGTGCTGTCCTCAGCCCTATCATAGCACACAACGATATTTTATACGCAAAGACACGCAATGTTTTAAGCAAGCATTGCCACCTTGGGCGATGGATATACCGGGGGATCCTGAACACGGAGAGTTCATTCGGTTACAGGATCTGGGGCTTGCTAGTGGGATCCATTTCCGGAATCCATGCGCGTCCGATTCTCACCTGGCCCATGCACGATTCAAAATAAGCCTCTGTCCACGCTTCGATTCCTTGTCCTAAAAGGTTCATTGGTGTGGAAAGCAAAACATATGACACTGAAAGACCTTGGCAAGCACTCATGACAAAAGTAGAGCGGCCACACTAGCTTAACCGGGGCCGTAAAAGTGGTTGGGCCCATCAAAAACTTATCCAACTTCACAGGTCCTAGAAGAGGAAAAAGCAGTGACCTCAAAGGCCAATTTCAAGTCCTAAGGAATATAAAACGAATGCACCAACAATTTTGCACTTTCGCTCTCTGCCGTAGCGCTACCATGTATGAGCCGGACAAAATGGTAGGAAGCAACGGGCTCTCACCACCCATAGGGCTCATGCCACAGCCAATACTTCGCAGACAGATTGCAGCGTACAAAACAAACGACTGGCAACAACGATGCGAGAAGTGTACAGCATCATCCAGACTTCATTCAATCATATTTTCAGTTGGTCTAATGCCCTCAAGCCACCTGAACCACCATCCCCGCCCGTCCCCGCGTCGGCACATGCTCTCCGTCGCATAAACAAATCCTCAAGTGACGAGTGGTCGGAGCCAAGGGACACACGCTGCAAGCCGCCTGTCACACGAACGTCAGACAAATAAACATCGCCGGACGTGGGCAGTGGATGTGCAAATGTGCTGGTCAGCCGCTCTGTGAGCAGCGGACGCCACATCATCGTCCCGCTCTCACCGCCAAGAGTCACCTCGCCCGCCTCGCTGTTTGCTGTCACTTACTCCAGACCCCGCTGTCGGCACTGGCGTGTTGACCCTCCGGAATCCAAGCCCACACGGGTGCGGAAGCCATGCCTTGAACCCGGCCCATCATCACGTGCACGTGGGGACATGACGCGTACGGTGTTCTGACCCACTCCCGAACCTTTCGATGCGATTTCACAGCAATTTCTTTGTGTAGGTGACCGAAAACATCGCCGAATGTGAAAATGTGAAATGAAACGACTGAATGTGAAAGAACTGCTTTCGGCTCTGTCCCACGTTTGAGGCGTTCCTCCGTTCCTGTCCGAGCGCATCGGGTGGGGAGGGGGGGGGGGGGGCGGGGGAGGGACGGGCGCCTTATCCGGCGGCCTGGCGGCTCCAGGGGCCGGGCCGACAGCTCGCCGGCCGGATCGGCCAGGCCCGCTCACTAACGGCGGACGGATCAACGCTCGCGGCCTGGAGCGTGCCAAATCGATACGCAGCGACCGTCATCCGCCTTCCTCAACGAAAAAAGAGCGGACCCTCGAGCCATCACAGCTCGCTCTCGGCCGACGGCTGCGGCCCCCGCTGCCGCTCGGGCCGACCCAGCGCCTGTCCATCGCCTACCTTTCCTGTAGGCGTCGCTGGCGGCCGGCGCCGTCAACACCGCCAGCGTGGCGGCCAGAAGCAGCGGGCCCGCCGCCATGGTCGCACCGCGTCCTTCACGACGGCACGCCTGGCCTGTCGCCGGCCACCCACTCTAGATGACACTGCCGCGCCTGGACGGTAGTCTGTGCCGCAGCACCATGCCAGCCCGGCGCGTCCGCCACTGGCCTATCGATTTCGGCGCGGCCGACTGCGGGCGGCGGAGGCGGCGAGGCGCGCGCCGCCCCCCGGCCGGCCGCCAACTGCCCCGCCCCACTCGGCAGCGACGGCAGTCAGCTGAGCGGGGGACTCGGCGGCCGGAGGCGCTCGCCGCGGAGAGCGGGGCAGAGTATCACACAGCGATCAGCCGGGGGTAGAGAGTGGTCGGTGGCTCGGGTTGTCGCTAGATGAAAACGGTATGCTATTGATGAAATCGGTATCGCTATGCTTTTGCTTCACTGGGTGTCTCGGTGCCCCCGATTGCAGCCCTGAATTATTGCAGCAGCCTTGCGGTAACGCATCGCAAAAGTCGACTTGAAAATTATTGCACGCACCGCCATTTCCTCTTGAGAGGCGTACGTCATTGTGAATCATGCTGGGAGTAGGTAGAGAGAGGACAGAATTGCCAACCATGCTGGCACTAGGAAGAGAGACGAACGCCATCGTGAATCGTGCTGGGAACAGGTTGAGAGACAGCTATCACTGTGATTTAGGCTGGAACTAGGTAGAGAGACAGGCATCATCGTGAATCATGCTGAGACTAGGTAGGCGGGCAGACATTATTGTAAGTCATGTTGGGTTTACATAGATGGACAGACGCGATCGTGAATCATGCTGAGACCAGATGAAGAAACGGACGTCCTTGTGAACCATGCTGGGACTGGGCAGAGAGACGGACGTCACTGCGGTTCAGGCCGGGATTGGGTGGAGAGACGAACATTATCGTGAATCGTGCTGAGACCATGTGCAGAGACGGACGTCATTGGGACTCAGACGGGGACTAGGCAAAGGCAACAAAGTTGTCTTTAGCTAATCCCAGTAGGCAAACAAAGTCGACGAAGTTAGCAAATGATTCATATTCATATTCGGATCTATTTCCTCCAGACAGCGGACTCGTTTTATTGACCTGAGTGCCTGCTCACAGATCATGATCTGATGGTGATGACCAAGCAAAGCAACACCGGCACACGCGCAGGCGGACGTCGCTGAGAGAGCACCACTTCCATTATCTGGATTTTTTGCCGCTACTGAACTGAACCTCCTGTTGCCGTGCGCACCAAATCCACGCCCAACAAACGCTATCAACAGAGGTACAGCAGGCCACCGGCCTCTCACGTCAGGCGTAATGTAAACAGCCAACACCAGTGCTGCCTTGTAAGCTTGCAGCGCTGCTCGTCGCAAAGGTATTATCACTGCAAGGCCCGTAACGTCGTCAGCGCTGCTTCCCAGTTTCGTGTTTTACTTGTATAATGTTCCAAGGATTATATTCTTGCCATGCACGTGTTAGTAAGCATGCAACTGAGCCATGTTCATGTCTGTCTCTATTTTTGCCTGATAGTGGACTTTTAATAGACCTGAATGAACACACGATCACGATCACAATCCTGTCACGGTCGCCCTGTGCGCAAACCAATCAACAGTCAGCTGCTGGGAGCATGTCGATCTGAATGTGAACATAAATCTGTCGCCGATTTCGCGAAAGCTGCTGTGCACCCCTTTTGACGTTTTCCACGTTTGCAACTGCTTCGTGCAGCGTTTGAAGTCCGTGCAAGACAAGTAGGCACGCGCTAGCGTTTGGCGAACACTCGTATTGGACATATATACGGAGTGCTCGATAATAATATAATCTTGTCTGATATCTGGACCTACTGTTTGCAATAAACGAACTGCTTAATCATATCATTAGCGTAGTTAACCATAAGGAATCCCTTAAGTTTATAGACGCCACGTGCTTATGGACAGACATCCACAACTGTCTTCCACTCCCCAGACTGTTGTGGGTACGTTGAATGTGCTCGCCCGTTACTGGGATCATTCACAAACAACATGTATGAAACTGGACGAACAAAACGAAACCGCGCTCGTAAAGATGTGAAAAAACAGGCAAGTTTGACGCATACTGACACCTCAACATAGCCAACATAATAATCGTTAATGTTTTATTCAGCCGCGTAAGTCCCCGTACTGTTTGTTCCATTTGGTTGAATATCAGGCCCCGTACATCCCCGAACGTTCCCTAGCAGTGACACCCCTCTGGACAAAGCCCCCCGCCATGATTTCTTTGAGTTCCAGACAGCCGCGGGATCAACCTAAAGAAATGTGACCGAAGCGGATGAAGCTCTTGAAGCCCGTATATTTGTATCGGTCGAAATAAAACCACCAGCATCATACAAAAATCAGTTACGAACCGAATATATTTCCCCGGTTTGCTGCAACAGTTTGGCACAGGCTCGCCTGCCGCACTCTAACCAACTTCACCGGAAGCCACTGATTGCCGCGCGCTGAACTAACAGAGGCACATTCATCAAAGGCACCAGGACAAACAATAGGCACGAGCCGCACAACCGGGAATGTACCCTATTCTGGTCTCACCCGCGCGACACAACAGCTCAGACCGCATCACACGCACCGACATAGCCGCCGGCGGCGCCCGCGCGCGCCTTCTGGCATCGTCATCCCTACGCGCACTATCCCACCACCGAAACAAGCTCCTGTTTGTCACCACGTGGTCAAAGACCCAGGACCGTATCGTGGTAACGTCTACATGCGTGGGCCATTTCATTAACAAGTCATTGAGCGGCAAACTGGGTTATATAAGCGGTTTTTATGATGAGCCTAGCGATACGCTATCACATGACTGGCGGCAGGCAACGGAAATTGAACATGGTTTAACAGAAACAACCCACTCTGGAAGTCCACAGGAAAGCACAACACCTACTGTCTGGCGGACAAAAAGACGCGCCTGTCTGCTGACTGACTGGCAGCCCCTGTCGAACGTGACAACAGAGTCACTGAGACACCGTCTACATCGGTTCCAAGACTCCGTAGACGCGCCCGCGCGTCGCTGCGACTCGACGCCCAGGAATCAACCGAAAGCCTGGGCGGCGCAACACACTGCTGCCCGGGGAGAAAAAACCGAAGACGAATAGGGGAGGAGCGAACTGCTGAAGCCACAGACCCGTTAGCGCCGTACAGAGGGCCATGCAGCTCATGCCGCCAGACGGGCCGGTGACGTCCCTGCCGCCCAGCCGTCAACAGTCGCCGACGGCTGGCCTCTCGGCCTCTGGACGCTTGTACGACAATGACGTCACAAAAACGTGACTTATTGTCGCTCAAGATCATTGCTCAGTGTGAAGGTGTGCTGACCGATCACTAATATCCAAGTGTCAGCAGAACAAGAGTATAAGTGTATGCACGCTATCACGATTACCGCAAGGCCCACGCGTGTCAGAATAACGTATAATTAAGTGCGCAATAACTGAGTGCGCGAGGCGTACCTAACCCAGTCACAAATCGACTGGCAGGGTCCCGCCATAAACGGTGTGAGGAAGCACAAACGTTGTATATATCACATTGAGCAGCCTGTACGCACCCCAGCATGCTGACTAAGAAAATGAACGTGATTTAACAGCTCTAGAAATCAGAGGTTGACCTTTTTTAATCACATTCCCACAAATGGCAGCATAGGCCGTAACGCATCACTTGTCAGAAGCATGCCAAAGGGCGTCATGAGGCGTGATTTACTTTCTCTATGGCGGAGCCTAGGCATGATGCTCCGACGCCATCTACGTTCAACGGCGCGCAGCGTATATTCCATACGCGGCCGCCAGGATGGCGCCCAGGCCGAGCACCAGCGGCAGGTAGGAGCCGACCCTTTCAGCCAGTAGAAGGGCACGAATCTTGAAGGGCATGGCCGTGGTCTTCTGGAAGGCAGTCCTCTGACGGGCGCGCCGGAAATAGGTGGCCAGGTGGGGCCGCGTGCGCGTGAACAGGCGCTCCTCCAGGCCGAGCATCCAGATGCGGTTGAGCAGCACGCACAGGTCGACGTCGGCCAGGCTGAAGGAGGCGCCGCACAGCCACCAGCTGGCCCGCTCTGGAGCACGGCGAGGAGCAGGGTCAGGTGACGCCGGTGCCACGTCAGCGCCCACATACCGTGGCTGGTCAGTACAGCAGACACGGCGGGCACCGGGCATACTCTCGCTGGTCGACACAGCAGACACGGCAGGAATCGGACATACCGCGGCTGGTGAACACAGCAGACACGGCAGGCTTCGGACATACCGCGGCTGGTCAACACAGCAGACACGGCAGGCATCGGGCATATCGCGGCTGGTCAGCACAGCAGACAGACAAGACAACAGTGTCAGCAGAAGCGGAGCTCCCACCTCCTGTGTACGTGACCAGAGGGAGCAGCGGGGGGGGGGGGGGGGGCAGGGGAGGGAGGAGGAGGGAGGGGCGTCTCCGGAAACAGTATGAGTAGCGGCGTACTTCCCACCTCCGGTGTGTATGTGTGACCAGAGCGGGAGAAAGGGAGGGAGGAGAGGGACGTCTCCATGCAGTGTGAGCAGCAGCAGAGCTCCGAACTCCGGTGTGTGTGTGTGTGACTAAGGGGCGGCGGGGAGCGAGGGGGGAGGGACGTCTCCGTAGACAGTGTGAGCAGCAGCGGAGCTCCCACCTCCGGTGTGTGTGACCAGCTCATCCTCGGCGCGCTGCAGAAAGGCGTCCACGCCTCGCATGGCCTGCCGGTGCTTCTCCGGGTCCAGCATGCCGTCAGCAAGTTTCTTCATGGAGTCCACCTTGTTCTGCAGCACCTCGCGTGCCTCGGGCACCTCTTCCATGGCATGCAGTACGCGAGCGAGCACCAACGGGTTCTTGCCCTCCGCCGGACGGGTCTCTGGCGGCGACAAGCAGCCCGTCAGAGACGGCGGCCGGCGCCACAGGCCCAGCTGCTTCCGTCTGTCTGAGCTGGTCGTGTTTGCCGGATGTCATACAGGATACCAGATACAATTCGTTCATGTACACGGCGCGCTCGAGAAGATGGCATTGGATTGCTGAGGGAACAAGTACGGTATTTGGATAACAGTCGGCAGGCAACTGAACTGACTTCTAACTGACAACGCCCACATACTGGAACTGTCATAGAACGAACTTACTGTTCACAATAGAGCGCAGCATCATCCGAGGAAGTCGAACTTTCTGGCGTAGCTCTTCATTGTGGAACGTGCCATAAGTGAAGACAGGAATGTCCAGCTTGAGAAATTCCTCGGTGAAGTTGGTCACTTTTCGGTATTCCTCAGAACTTTTGTCCAGGGGAAGCAAACGCGGAAATTTCCCTGAAATTTGCCACAACAGTCACCTAGATATGACTTCCTAAATAGGCTCCTAGCAGAGCCCTGGGTAGGAGCCTAATGAACTATTATTCAGCATCTTGGACAGTGCTATGACAACAATATCTGGCATAATAATTACAAACTTTACAACAATCTAATGAAATATCCCAGTTGACCATAACTTTTTGCAAGCAGACTGGTACCTCTAATGGTTTCACTGTATTGAAAATTAAATCTCCATCATCCTATCTACACAAGACGATACACAATCTGTCCTATTCTCTTACGGCCGTGAATGTCTTCCCCCTGCACCCGCAGCCTGCCCCCCCCCCCTCCCCCGCCCTCGTCGCCAGACCCACCGTCGCTGAAGTTATCCTCCAGGTACTCCATGATGAGCGTCGAGTCCGGGATGACCTTGACACCATCCTGCAGCGCGGGCACGGTACCCTTGGGGTTGATATGCAGGTACTCGGGTCGGTGCTGTTCGTTCGCCTGGATGTTCACCAGCTCTTCCTCAAACGCCAGTCCCTTCTCATGCAGCGTGAGGACCGCCTGTTGGCCATCAGCTAGTCATTACGCCAGCAGACTGCGGGTCTCGTCAGCACGCAAGAAGACAAAGGCTCTCGTCAGCACGTCAGCTGACGACGGCTCTAGTCAGTACGCCCGCAGATGGCGGCTCTCATTGGCACGTCAGAAGATGGTGGCTCTCGTCAACACGTCTGCTGATGGCGGTTTTCGTCAGCATGTCAGCAGACAACGGCTCTAGTCTGCTCTCATCAGCAGATGGCGGCTCTTGTCAGCACATCTGCAGGCAACTGCTCCCATCAGCACGTCAACTGACAGCGGCTCTTGTCAGCTGACAACAGCTCTAGTTAGCTGACAGCTGCTCTCATCTGCAGATCAGCTGATGACTACTCCCATCAGCATGTCAGCCAGTGGTGGCTCTCATCAGCACATCAGGACACTGCAGCTCTTCTCAGCATGTTAGCTGGCAGGGACTCTAATAATTTATTTTGATGTACTCATTTGATTTAAAGTCAATTTGTTACTTCCTTATAACATCAAACACTATTACATTGTATGACATGCATATCATATGTTATCAGGTTATCATCAACTTATTTTGACTTAAAAGGAACATCATAGCTTGCACAAATAGGTTCATTACCATCACCAGGTGACAAGTATGTATGTAATACACTGCACAATACAGTTGATCAGCAGGTTAATAATCTGCAATTTTAAGCCTGTCATGCTCTTGGAAACACCATCATGCACATGTGTATTTAATTTACAGAGATCTTAGGATACAGTTGATAAAAATATAACTTACAGAACTAGAAATCTGAGAACACAATTTCTGGTTAACACAATACAAATGAAATCAGCTAAGCAAACAAAACAACGAAGCATGTTGCAAGAAGTTCATATACTATGGCATAAATCCACTTTAGGAAATAAATTCCTTTCCAGCACCTCAAACTGCAGAAGTTTGGGTGGACTTTGTCACCTACAAACAATACTGAACTCTCAATGTTGGGTCAATCATAATTTATCGCACACATAGATAAGTTGAACCTTTCTCTGATCTGATTGCAGGATGATGTCGCACTAAATACCACCTGTTTGAGCTTATTCAAGTGCCCAAGCAATAGGAAATGTCAAGGCAGTGGAAATATACCTACTACACACCTACCCTTTGAGAGTAAAATGACATAGGGAAATGGTACAGCTTGAGGACACCATTTCCATTCCGATTCATTCTTGCCTCTCGAATCACAACCTATCCTGTGGAATACGCCCCAGCTCCTGCCAGATCACCCGGAGCGGAGATCCCGCCGACTATGACCGCGGTCGGGAATCGGAAGAATTGAAATTGGAGGGAAGTGAATGGAAATGGATTGCAGAATTGCAGTGAAAGTTTTGATCAAGAATGTCGCCACAGCATAAAATTATGTACCTGCTCAAAGCAGACATTTGTTCAGCATCATGGCACTTTTCAGATAGATTAACCAATTAAAACACTTATATGAGGGTAGGATAGGCGTTTAACGCGATCATGCAGCAAAAAAGCTTAGATCGAACAGGAGTATTTTGCTATTACGCTTTTTGACAACATTGGCGCAGCAAAGACAAACAAGCATTTTTGACATTCGAGGTGTTGCATGATGATCAAAACAAACACGGGAACAGCGTTGGAACGAGTGGTTCGGACGTGTGTGGGTAGTGTTTTGCAAGGCTAATTTATCCGTGTGTGTGTTTGTTTCTGCTTACTTCTTTGTGAGGTTCAGCCTTGGGTAATGCCTCTTTAGGCTGTTACGCTGTGTACCAGCATAGACAGTGGTGCTGAACCCAGCTGGATGTGCAGTTGGTACATTAAGATGCATGCACTGGAATGAAGACAATGACACCAAAATGGCATAATATACGAATAATTGGGAACAGAAAACCTCAGATAATGTTACATTCATTCAGGTTGTTGATAAAATGCCTTAAACCACGATTTGGTGCCAGGCACTTGAAAGATTACCTTGCTTAGTGATGTTAAAAAGTATGTTGTTGAACAATTACTTCTAACTCAAGTTACACTGTGCTCCAGTGCTCTTTCAAGCACATAACTTTTAATTGAACTAAGGGTTCAGTTTTGCCAGTATGCAACTGATAGCTTAAGATTTGAGCTGCCTTTATTTGGAACAAATTGCAATAGAAGATATAACCTGACACCTTGATTCTGCTGTGAATTGATGTTCTGCATGCTTCTCTTCCCATTGTGCATGATATAATATTAGTTTGTGGCATGATGCATACTCAACAATGTTGTCAATGGTGCATCATTAGGTGAACAACATGAGTGCATACAGTGTGTGCATGTGGTATATATTTTTGCCTGATGGTACAGCTGTTGTTACCTGTAAAATATACTGTGAACCAATATAAGATACATAAATTGATGATCATATGTTGATATGAGTCACAGCTAATGGAGTAAACTATGTATATATACCTCAGATATGTGTGCAATATGTATATACAATGTATGTTTATTTCTGTTATGGTATGTTACACCTTCTTGAAATCTGTGGGCATTATGTCATGTTTTCTACCCACAGGTAAAGTTTTGTCAAGTTCTTCAAACTCCATACAGAAGATGACTGATATGGAGGTAAGTTTGTCCATCTTTACATTAATTTGACCATTGCTGAAATCAGATGTTTATTTGCTCTGTCACAGGGATGATCTGATATGAGTTTGCATATGTTATTCTGACCTATGTTAATTCAACCATATTATTCCTGAATATAGACTGACAACATGAAGGTGGTTATCTCAGATACATCACCAAGTTAAAAGTCAGGAAGCCTAATGAGAGAACATCATAAAACATTGAGTCAAAATGCACAAAGTGCAAAAAGCAAACACATGATATATGTAAGGACAGGGCGGTGCATATTTGGCTTGACATTACACTGTGATTACACACATTACACACACAAGTGACACTAATGAATTAAAGAAAACTGTTTGCAGGAAGGCTGGAGTGCAATATTGAGATAATCAACCAGGAGGCTCAGAATTTGTGTGAGGGATACCTCAGAGTCACATTTATCAGAAAAAGCTGGCAGTAATGGAGTGAGCCAGTGTGTGAGAATCCCTGCCAACAGGCTGGTCGAAGATTAGACAATCATTATAGTCACCAGAAACCTATACCATAAAGCATTGATAAAGCATAGTGGAAATATAGGGTGGGTGGCAGGACCATGCTGGCAGAACTTGGCACTGATTGGCATTGTGCGAGAGGTATTGGTTTGAAGGTACCTCTGTAAATTCTTAAGACATAGGATGGTGGAAGTCCGTGAGTGAGGAGAGGACAGCCTCCATACTGCTCAGGAGTGCAGATCAGCATTGTGTTGCATGTGAGGTAATGCGTCAGTATCTTCGCCATATCTCACTGCAAGTGTGTAGGAATGCCTGCATTTGCATTGCCTATGTGTGCCTATGAGAGCGGTGTATCTGTCTGGGTGACTGTGGACGCAACCAGGAGCATGGCGTGGTGCCAGCGTGTCGCTGACCAGCCGGACTGACCGGCCACCCGACAGGAAGGCGATGGCGAGGTATTCGACATCACCGACTTCACGTCGGCCTCCGACTGGGAACGCTTCACTGGCGCGCTTGCCGAGCTGCTGCACGAGTGGAAGGCGCTGCGCCAGCCGCCGGCCGTCAGCCAGGCTCAGCTCCAGTTTGCCGGTACGTCCCGGGCACTCACGCCCGCCAGCCGCCGGCCGTCAGCCAGGCTCAGCTCCAGTTTGCCGGTACGTCCCGGGCACTCACGCCCGCCAGCCGCCGGCCGTCAGCCAGGCTCAGCTCCAGTTTGCCGGTACGTCCCGGGCACTCACGCCCGCCAGCCGCTGGCCGTCAGCCAGGCTCAGCTCCAGTCTGCCGGTACGTCCCGGGCACTCACGCCCGCCAGCCGCCGGCCGTCAGCCAGGCTCAGCTTCGTACCAGTCTGCCGGTACGTACCGGGCACTCACGCTCGCCTGCCGCCGGCCGTCAGCCAGGCTCAGCTCCAGTTTGCCGGTGCGTACTGGGCACTCACGCTCGCCTGCCGCCGGCCGTCAGCCAGGCTCAGCTCCAGTTTGCCGGCACGTCCCGGGCACTCACGCCCGCCAGCCTCTGGACGTCAGCCAGGCTCAGCTCCAGTTTGACGGTACGTCCCGGGCACTCACGCCCGCCAGCCGCCGGCCGTCAGCCAGACTCAGCTCCAGTTTGCCGGTACGTCCCGGACACTCACGCCCGCCTGTCGTCGGCCGTTAACCAGGCTCAGCTCCAGTTTGCCGGTACGTCCCGGGCACTCGCGCCCGCCTGCTGGCCCGTCACGGATGATGCATCCCCACGTCATGCCAGAGACCGTATAACTCACCCGTCAGGCCATGTGAAGGGCGCATTTTAGAATGTGATGGTGAAGAAGCAGCACGCCGGCTGGGCTCAGTGGCTGGATGTGTTGCCATATTTCTGTTACACAGGGTGTGAAGTTGCCAGAGGCAACATCTGCGCCCCAGTGCTCTGAATATGATGACCATTCTCGCGCATGCGCGTTCCGCCGCTGCTCTGCCGTCGTGTGGACGCTCGCCGTGCCCGGCAGCCGGTGCTACAGAAGTGTGCGTTGTGAGGCATGACCCGGCACTCTCCCGTCGCCAGGCTGCCCTTTCACGGTGACGTACGTGGAGCCTGCGGGCGGGGCCGGCCAGCGGGAGCGTCCCGCCCCGCCCGACCAGGAGGAGCAGGAGCAGGAGCGTCCCCCGGCCGAGGAGCAGGAGCAGGAGCGGCTGCCGGCGGCGCTGGCCGAGCTGCTCTCGCCGGTGGCCGACTTCCAGGCGGTGCACCCGGTGACCGAGGCATTCGGCGTGCGCCGCTTCGTCGCTCTGCAGCCGGCCTCGGAGCCGGGCGTCGACAGCGAGAGCAAGGCGCGCATCATGCTCAGCTCGCTGCACGTGGCGCTTCGGGACGCCGGCTGGTGGGTGGCGACGCGCCAGTGACGCCGCCGGCACTGTAGACCCCGGCCCCGAGCGGCCGGCACTGTAGACCCCGGCCCGGAGCGGCCGGTACTGTGGACCCCGGTCGCGCCGCCGCCACTGTAGACCCCGGCCCCAAGCGGCCGGCACCGTAGACCCCGGCCCCGAGCGACCGGCACTGTAGACCCCGGCCCGGAGCGACCGGCGCTGTAAACCCCGGCCCGGAGCGGCCGGCACTGTAGACCCCGGCCCCGAGCGGCCGGCCGACCTCTGGAATGTCCGGAGCGTGGTTATCTGCACGTCTTCACTATCGTGGAAACATCAGCTCGAGCTCCAGCATCAGTCGGTATTGAATGTCCGACCAAGAGTTTAACTATTTCGCATGGGTTGGTCTGTAATCGCCGTTGTTAGTCTCGGAGGAAGAGCGGATTTTCATTTACGTTTTGGGACAACCGTAGGTCCGCCCTTTGCACACATTATCATAGTCTTATGCCAAATATTGATTCATTGGGAGAACGAGCGCTAGCCACCAGTTGTACATCAAGTGACAATTAACGTTGAAATGTGAGTGAGACGTGACTCCTGTTGACTAGGCGCTCTAGGATCTCTCCGGGCATTCTCTACTGACTTCACCCCTGAGCAATCTGACGTGCTGTGTTCTAATGGGTCTTGTGAGCATCGAAACTTTTGAAAGGAGAACACCTCTCGCTTCTTTCAGGGACATTCCCATGTTCGTTCAAGTGCATCGCCTGTCAAAGCTGTACTTTTTGGGCGCGTGCGTCGGTGAGGGGACCCTGATTGAGTTCCAAACCATTCTGCTGAAACGAGCTCCGTCTCATCTCTATTGCCTCTCAGGTGAGTCAGTTTGGCATGTTCTGTACATACCTTGTCTCAGGTAGGTTAATTTGACAATCCTGCATCCACCTTCTTCCCGTAAAACCACTGAACATAACCTTGTGCTACGTGATGAACCAGTAATACTCTGAGCGCATTCGCATGTCCAAAAACACAAAATGTTTGCGCTACAACAGAAAGGACGCCAATGGGCTTTGGGAAGCCGGCCGGCCGCTGAGTCCCCGCCGGTCGGCCGCAGGCCTGCTCGAGATGTTCAAGCAGAAGCTGGCCAGCCGCTCGCTGCCGCCCGTGTCGGTGACGCTGCGGTTGCAGTACTCGACGAACGACTTCGGTCGACTGGCGTACGGTGGCGGCGCGTGCGACCCGGCCCGGCTGGAGTCCGTGCTGCCCGAGCCGGCCACTCTGCGCCGGCTGCCGCTGGATGCCGCCGACGGCCTGGATCCGCTGGCGTGAGTACCTGTCTAACGGCCTGGATCCGCTGGCGTGAGTGCCTGTCTGACGGCCTGGATCCGCTGGCGTGAGTGCCTGTCTGACAGCCTGGATCCGCTGGCGTGAGTGCCTGTCTGACAGCTTGGATCCGCTGGCGTGAGTACCTGTCTGACGGCCTGGATCCGCTGGCGTGAGTGCCTGTTTGATGGCCTGGATCGCGTGACATAAGTCCTTCTGACGGCCTAGATCTGCTGGCGTGAGTGCCTGTCTGATGACCGGGGGCGCCGTGTATGCTAGTGTACCGGCATATTTCAGTTAGTGCTTTTCATGTCAAACGTAAACATAGAGATGACCCGAAATGGTGGAAATGACGCCGCCCAGGCGCCTGTGCTGCCATTGCGCTGCGGTCAACTGGAGCTGTGTGACCCGTGTCCGCGTGTGGTCTAACCCATATCGGCTTGTCGTCTGAACCGTGCCCGCCTGTCGTCTGACCCGTGCCCGCCTGTGGCCTGACCCATGTCGGCCTGTCGTCTGAACCGTGCCCGCCTGTCGTCTGACCCGTGTCCGCGTGTGGTCTAACCCGTGTCCACCTGTCGTCTGACCCGTGCCCGCCTGTCGTCTGACCCGTGCCCGCCTGTGGCCTGACCCGTGTCGGCCGGCAGCGCGCTGGAGCTGACTGTCAGCTGGCACCAAGTCTCGGAGAGTCTGCTGGTGGAGGACGCCGTCAGCCAACTGAACCCGCGCGCGGCACCCCGCTGGGCAGTGCGTGTCCAGCCAGCAGGTGCGGTGCCGCAGAACACTGTCGGGCTTCACTTCTACCTCTGAGCCATTCTGGCCCGTCGGGCGTATCTTCCAAAGTCGTTATCTTATACAATAGCCGCGTCGCACACGTTGAGTTTCCTGACGATACACACGGTCAGACAGTCAGCCACTGCAGTGAGGGCTCTCTCGGTTGAATGATGACGTCGATATCCGCACTCAGAGAACGAAAGCAAGTGATACTGGTTTGGATAAACGCTGATCCGGTAATGCACGAGTTGCATAACTACTTAAGTCGCAGCGGGCAGTGTGGAAATGGTTCGCCTGCACCAGTGCAACGCACTTGATATACGCGCTCTTTTCGGTATTTTGTGTCGGCATTTTGGGTATTTCGGTTTCGGACGTTACAAGCGCGTGCTTCCAGCTCGCTAGCACCGCGCCTGTAATTAGGTTTGCAGGGATAGCGTCCAACGACACGGAGAAAAGCCCCACGAAAAGTCGCTGTAGCGTAAATGCACTCCATTGGTTCCAGTTGACTTGAGTGGCGTTATAAATCCTAATGTTCTGTGCAAATCATAGTAAGTTACAAGGTCTATTGGCGTGTTGCATGCAGGCAAACGAGGGAACCTAAGATACAAATCCGCGGCGGCGGCGGCGGAACGTTAGCAGCTGTGTTACGTGCATTACCACGTTCCTGCATTACGGCGACTACATTACCCGCTGTGGTCGACTGAGGCCGGCCTCGTTGAGGTCATGCTGTGTTGCCATTTGGGAGACATGATTCTTGTGTGAAACCTTGCGTGTGTGGTCGGACCTTGGGCTGCGTCGCTCCAGGGCTCAGTCGGAGTCGACGTCGGGTCACAGCGGATCAGTGCCGGGTCACAGCGCCAGGGCCGCTGTGACCCGGCACTGACCCCACTGTGACTCGGCACTGATCCGCTGTGACCTGACGTTGACCCCGATATGACCCAGTATTGACCCCACTGTGACCCCGTGGCCCGGCAGCGCGCGCGGTCGGCCTGCTGGGCCTCTGCCTGCACGATGTCTGGAAGTTTTGTCACCGGCGCGACTCGTTCGAGTCGCTGCTTGGCCGGCGGCTTACGGATGCGCCTGTTGTTGGTAAGTGCTCAGGGACAATTGCTCACCTACCACTCCAACACACGCCGCTGGGGTCCGCGTGCTGTTGAGTGCTGTTGTTTGAGTCAGTTATTGTTTTGCATTTTTAGGTATTAATCCGTAGCTGCCATTGAATCCACACGCATGTATGCAATGCCTGAAGATAACCGCTGATAAGATCACGCACGCACGGATCATGGATGCGGATCATGGATACGGATCATGAATACGGATGACGCTATGGAGAATGCGGTGCGTGTGATGTGCGAAGGGTTAGGGACGTGGTCGGCCGAAGTACTGCACGTCGGCTGTGTCGACGGCCATTGGCGGCGTTACGCAGCTGGTGTGACTGTGACCGTGACCCCAGGTCAGGCGCCGGACGTGATGGCGGCGCTCTCCCGCCTGACGGAGGGCGGCCGGCCGGCGGCGGCGCGCACCTCGCCTTCTGCCAGCCAGGCCCGGCCCCGGCCCCGGCCCGGCGACGAGACGACCGAATACGTGGAGCGGCTGTGCGCCGAGCTCTTCAGCTTCGCGGTGAGCCCCGCTGCGACCCACGCCAGACTCGCTTCAGCCCGGCTCGGCACGCTTCGGCACGCTTCGGCCCACTCCAGACCCACTCCGGCCGTTCCGGTCCACTCCGGCACGGCTCGGCCCGCTTCGGCCCACTCCGACCCATTCCGGCCCACTGCAGCCTGCCAGCCCGCCGGCTGGCGTCTGGTAGCGATTCTGTCGGAAATCAGATCACTTGGCTTCGTTTCACGACATCTACAGTTCACGACAGGCGTCTGGCATGTGGTACCTCTCGCATTCGTCGGGTCAAGATCGTATTGTCTGGCACATGGCTCAAGCCTGTCTCTTGTGAAGCATGTCATTCGCAGCCAAGTCGGTACGTCATGACACATACGATTGAGCATCCATGACGTGCCCTGCAATAGCGGTCTGTGGTCGCCCCGTCACCGCGCCGGGCATGGCGCCGGCCGCTGCCCGGGCGCCGACCGTCGCGTCATGGCTGTCACGCGGCGCCACTGTCCTGTCTGGAGCCGCCGTCTGACGCGCCGCCGCCCGCAGGAGCCGGTGCCGCCGCCGCCCGCCGTGCCGGCCGCCCTGCCACGCTCAGTCAAGGTACGCGCCGCCACCTTCGCCGGGCTGAGGCCGACCCGGCCGGCGCAGTGGCGCCATCTGTACCGGCCCTGCGGCTGGGAGCGTGTGGGGGCCGGGCACCCAGCCAGCTCGCCGATCGGCGCTCGTTGACGGCGATGACGCGACGTTTGGAGGAAACTGGGGCAAAGGCGGCCGGCGCCTCTCACACACTCACTGTGAAGCCTAGGACGACGGGGGAACCGGGCGGACGCCGGGGGGGGGGGGGGGGGGGGCAGGGGAGGAGGGGGAAGGCCAGGTGGATGACGAGCATCCACGGCGCAGATACGGTATCGTGGATCGGCAGCATACATGCGCCGGAGACTGACTGCCGGAGATAAATACAGGTGGCAGCATCTCCATCAGACAACTCGGCCGCTTGGTCCGATAGGCAGCTGCCAGGCTGCCAGCTGAAGGCCACGCAAACATTCGATGTAACGGGTCGAAAGTGCTCTGAGCGATTGCTGTTGTGTTAGCACGATCCTCTGATAGGTATGACCAAGCAGTGTCCCCTCCAATGCGGAATAAGAGGCCACGCCTAGTTGCGTTGGTATTGCGCGGTGCGGTGATTCTGTATGCTACACCCGCCACGCAGGCAGTGTGGGCTCATCTTAACAAATAATATTGTAACAACTTTTTAAGACAGAATTTCACTTGGACATTGCGACGGATACCAACTTGCTGCCAAATGATCGTCCACATATTACGTCGCTGTTTTTTTTTTTGACAATTCCCTCCCCCCCTCCTGATTTTGCACTGGTAACGCTGCCCAAAAACTACCCCTCCCTTTCTTGTTACGCTTCCGTCACGCTTCATCAATAGCCACCTCCCCCGCTACGTAAAACGCAAGTTATAGCCGGCCCCTGATGGCTATCGTGTCTGCCTATTTTCCGTTTCTGAAACTGTGCTTAGGACCGTGATAAATCACGCGATGGACACCGTGATACGGTGCCTTTCGACCACCCCAGGTCGCCAAATGACCTCGGCCGCCTCTCGTTTCAGAACCACATCGCCAGCGTGAAGTCGTCCCGGCCTGGCGACCTTCTGTGGCGCCTGGGCCAGGTCATGTGCATGCTGGTCAGGTCGGGCTCCTCGTCGCTGGTGTGCCGCGTATGGGAGAGGTTCCTTCAGCTGCTGAGGACTCACTGGGAGACTGTCGTCGCTGTGCCAGGGTAAGTAGCGTGAGGACGCACTGGGAGGCCGTCGCCGCTGTGCCAGGGTAAGTCGCGTGAGGACGCACTGGGAGACCGTCGCCGCTGTGCCAGGGTAAGTTGCGTGAGGACGCACTGGGAGACCGTCGTCGCTGTGCCAGGGTAAGTTGCGTGAGGACGCACTGGGAGACCGTCGTCGCTGTGCCAGGGTAAGTTGCGTGAGGACGCACTGGGAGACCGTCGCCGCTCTGCCAGGGTAAGTTGCGTGAGGACGCACTGGGAGACCGTCGCCGCTGTGCCAGGGTTAGTCGCGGCCTTCACGCCTCGATCTGTATCTGAGTTGACAGTCGGGCCACCGAAATCTGCGAAGGTCACGAATGGTCTTGGTGCCACGCCCACACTTGGTGGAAGGGATTCTCTCCCTCTCTGTCGTATTTTGAGGTTTCTCCACCGCATCACCCCCTCTCTCGCGCGCACGCTCGCTCTCTCTTTCTCGCGATTTCCCGCCCTTCGGTCGCGTTATCTGTGTGGGCCTTACACTCAGCTTCCGTCACTGTTATCATTTCCCGCTGTTTCTTCCCCCGTCTCAGCTCTTTGTTTCATCTCAGAGGTAACCTGCGCCAGTCTGCGCAAACAGTTATTTCTGCTTGCTTCGGTAAAAAATAATCGATGTCATCTGCACCTTGGGTATGGGGCAGCCCGCGCTTAAAACAATTTTTCACTACAAATTTTGCACACTGTATTTTGGTTTTAACTTCAAAGGACTTGACACGCTAACACGTAGCGGTACGAGGTTTCATTTTTTCAGTTTAGGCCCTCATACGCCGGCATATCTTGTGTACAGCCATCTGCACACATTTCTTTCAGCTCTTTTCTCTGCCTCACCCCTGATCGTTCATCATTTTTTGTTTTGTTTTGTGTGCTCCAGGTAACTTTTTAGGCTAGCTCTCTGGCGGTAAGGTGTCAGAGGCTGGCTTTGGAATACGGCTTTTGCGTGACTTGCCTGGTGTATGCCTCCAAAACGTGCCGTATTTTTTAGTATTCGTGTTATGTTCGGCAGAAAACCAGAGCAGGCTTTATTAGGCGGTGCTTTGGTTAACGATTCAGGGTTCGTACTCGCTTTATTTTAGTCTAAGAGCTGGCCGCGTGCAATAGCGTCGGACTTTTTGAAGCTATCGTCAATTAGTCTGTCTGCTTGTCCTGGTTTTTTAAGATTAGCTTTCAAATTTTGTCGGTGGTGAATACAGTTGTCCCTGACACTACAGATCGTTTTCAAAGGCATTGCCATTTGTAAAGGCAATAGTCCTTATCCTAGAGGCATGACAGTTTTGGTGTGGTAGTGAAGGTTTATGAAAAATGGAGGTGACTTTCGCTACCGAATGGTCTTTATGTTTTTTCGTCGACCATCCCACTACATTAATAATGCCGTGCATCTTGGATTGGCAGTGCCTTTTATATGGGCATTTAGTCACGAAAACGACTGTATTCGTCAACGCCAAATTCTGAGAGCTAAAGCTTTAAAAACGGAGTGTGCATACGAATAGTTTATAGTAGCTTTAAGAGGCTAACAGAGTTGTACGCGGACAGTTCTGGACAACAGCAAGCACTGCAGGGATACTTAAACGTTGACCAGAGTCCCGCTTCCTATAGCCTACTCTTGACTATCTGCCCAACATTAGAGGAGTACTAAAAATACACAATATCTTGCACCACTCCAGCCACATAAAATACATTTCTGAAAGCCAGCCCCTGGCATGTAAAAGCGGGAACCCAGCGCCCCTTTTTGCGTGTGCCAACCTGGATGAGCTGGTATACGCAAAAAAAGGACAGCTGTACAATCAGAGGAGGGGCAGACAAGGGTGCTGGAAAACGTGTGTGTTGATGGATGTATCAAGAACATCCCGGGCTATGAGGGCCTTAAATGTGAACGTATGATCGGACGAACGGGGTAAAATCACCAGCGTAATGTATGGTGTTCATTGTAGTATTCGCGAATGAGTATGTATGTCATGGAGACAGTGGGAGCTTCATATTATCATTTCGCAAACCACTTGTCAACCGTCAGAACAGAAAAGGCATCGGTACATATGTCATGTCCATTGACTCTAACTGACAGGGCCACTCGATGAACGATGTGAGATGCGTTGGCTCAAAGAGTGTGAAGCAGAGATGTGACGTATAAAAGACTGAGAGGGAACGGGGATTGATGTGCTGGGAGCGTCGCGCCTTCAGTTGTGTCTTTAGTGGGCAGAATTTATTAAAGTATTTTCTCAGCGTGAGCTGCTCCACACCTAATACGCATGTCACAGCAAACAGACTGGACAACGCTGAATAGCAACTTAAGATATATATATATATATATATATATATATATATATATATGTATATTGCTATTTATCTTGATATTGTATTGTGTTATCACACCTGTCTATCCTTCTGTTGCCCTCATTCCTGAAAAAGATGGCCTCAAAGGTATCAGAGCTGTCAGGTTCATTGACATACTGGCCGACTGCTGGCATGGCGTGCTAGGAGACATATCAGCGTTGTTTGTAGACATTCCGTAATCAACTGCAACTTTTTGGTGGCACCAGCGGCTGACAAAAACTGGCCTTATCCAGTGGGCGCGCCCGGTGACCTATCTAGGGAGGTCGCGAGGTCATGCTTGTGCCGCCAAAGGGGGTTAAGTCAGTCCGCCGGCGGGCCAGGCGCCGCTACAGAGACCTGCGCAGGGCTTTCTGAACGGTTCCAAATAAGTCAACAAACCCAACGCTGCTGGACGCATGACGAGCTGTTCCTCTGGTAATGGAAGCACAAAGTGGCGAGCAGGCTGTTTGATGGGCGTGTTGGTGTACGCCGCTCAGTCTCCCCAAGTTGCTGGGGTATTGGTGCACGCCACTCAGTTTCCCCAAGTTGCTGGGCGTATTGATGTAGGCCGCTCAGTTTCCCCAACTTGCTTGGCGTATTGGTGTGCGCCGCTCAGTTTCCCCAAGGTCTTGTCCAGTTCCGTGGACGAATGCGAGTCCCAGCATGTAGTACGTCGGGCTGTGTTTGCTGTCTGCAGCGGCTCGCGTGGCTCGCGTGGCTGCGTGGAGTCAGTGTGCAGGGCTGACTGGCTGCTC